CAGGAGCCAAGGGCAGCTGTTTTGACTGTGCCCTGGGCTGCAAGCATCCCTCCTTCCTTTGGCTCAGCAGGCAGCTCAAGAAGCCTTCAGGGACTTCCCTGCTCTCTCGCTTGCCATTACACTGAAAGAAAGAAAGAGAACTGGCTTTGCAGACTCTCCCCTACATCAGTTTCTACTTCAATAAAATTTAGCTCTCATATATGCTCTCCTGCATAAAGTCTTTCCAACTGACATTGTGTTATATATTGTGTTATTTTGCAATTAAAACCCATACTCATAGACATAGAAATTCTAATAAAACTTTTGTTATCAAGTTTTATTATTCCAACAAGTGTTGCTGTCAGCTAATAATCCCTAGAGTGGTCATCATGAAATATTTTATAATTGGATTTTAATTAAGCAATTCACTTAGTCCTACATTATTTTTGAAATCTAATTACGTCTTCAGGAAACTCACCCAACTTGTGGTATTTTCTGGACAATACACAGTACAGACTCCTTTCTTCCTTTCAATTCTTTTTCTCTACTTCTTATAGCTATTATTAAAACTCTTCTATTTCCTTTGTTGCTACTGTAGAAACTTTTCTAGATCTAATGGATGAAATAAAAGTGGAATGCCAATAAAAATCTCTATTATAAATATTATGTTAGAAAGGAAGCTCCCTATGCAATGGAAGTTAGAAAGATTTCTTACTTATTATATTCATGATTTCCCCTCCTCCTTGAATTTAAAGGCCTTATTAATGAGAAAATCCTGTAGATAAACCTGGCTGTAAGTTTTTTAGTATAGATTATAATTTATGTCTTACCTCATATATTTTTTGGCAAAATCCTGAGTATATATGTGCACACTGTCACCTGCAATAAGTCTCATGAAGCCTGTAGGCTTACTCATGTTTATATCACAGAAGCTCTGAGTGGTCCAGACACAGCTGTTTTTTAGTCTTCTTTGATGTTGAATGTCACATCTCACCCCAGTGTGGTGCGAATGCACATGATATAGTGTCAGGAGAAATAGTTGAGAAAACCATGAATACAAGGCACTTCTCTTGAAGTGGTTGGAGTATTCCTGTATTTTTCCATATGGGATACAGAGAAACACCACTTTGTGGTATGCCTTTGACTGTAAGTAGGCAGAAATCAATGTAATAAAAATAAAAGTCTTACAGAGATATTTTTATATTTAGAAATAGGAATGGTACATATAGTCATATTCTGACCTTGAAAAAATGGAAATAAAATGTGACAAGGCTCTCTGTTTGTAGTATTTATACCAACCATAAAAATACTCTGTTCAAACATAAAGATTTCCTTGAAACAAAAGAAATCTATTTAAAATGTGAAGAGGGGAAGGGATAAGAAGAGAAGGTCTGATGAGTTGATGGTTGGCAATATGAAGAACATTTCAATAAGATTATTTACATGAGTGATAGGAGGCATCTGGCCCACACACTGTACAGTACAAATATAGAAAAGCTGTGGAGGCCATAATCTGTCATTGTAGTGCCTATGCAACTCCAGCTGAATTCAGTAGTATTTCAACTTGCATATAGATAAGATAGTGGAGTTGCACATGCACTACATATGTACTAAATAGTTTAAAGGCTAGACACTTCATATCACTCATGTAAATAATCTTACTGAAATATTCTTCATATTGCCAAGCACTGATTCATCAGACTTTCTCTTCTTATTCCTTCACTTCTACGCATTTTAAATAGATTTCATTGTTCTCTGGTCCACCTTTGCCATCTTTGCTTTGCTTTTTTTTCATAAGCAGTTTATTTCCAAAATAAGAGATGTGGCCTCTATGAATAGGATTCCATGGGATTCAGTTCTATTTACTGTTTCATAAATAACTGTCCATGTTTAGACAGGTTAGTTACATTGTGCAGTAAGTTTAGCACAATCATTTGATATTTATCATTACAGCATTGTATTTTCCTCGAGTTGCCTCAAGCAATTAAACCATATGCCCATCTTCCATTGGAACCTGTAACAGTTATTAATCACTTGCCATTGTCTTTGGATTTTCTGCTTGTGACCCTTTCAGTTCTGCAAGCCAGGACACTATCTTTGCAGAAACAGGGAAGATATCTAAAGGTTAGAATATATTTCCAAGCTCTAAAAATAACTCCAATTACATTCTAAAGTCTAACTGGTCTTTTCTGAAGTCCATTACTAAGCCCAGAACTTATGATTGTTTAAAACCTTACTAGCTGATATTGCTTTGATGAGGACATTGCTGCTAAAATTGCAAACAGCATCCAAATGGTTGAAATTAAAATTCACTTATTCACTGTAAAAAATCTTATATTCCACTTAAGCTGCTGCACCAATATTACAGAAGCAGATGAAAGTCAAATGGCTGTCTCCAAAAATCTTAAATGTCAGATTTTTATATGCATTTTATCATTTTATTCCCATTGAAAAAGTATCATATGTCCACAGGTGGAATACTTTTGGAGTTTGCTTTTTTTTTTCTTTAATTATAAAAACACTCAATCCAGACTCCTATATACTCCTTACTCCTTTCTTCTAGAATGGCAGTGGAGAGAAGGAGCAGTCCAAGCAGCATTTCTGAAGGAAAGTTCAGTTCCATTGTAGTTTGAAAGTTTGTCCCAGTGGCCTCTGGCTAAAGAGGTCAACTGAAGGGCAAAGAAAGAAGCCCTCAGTTAAGCCAATGGATCAGTCTGAACCTTCAGTAAACAGATTCATCCATCCTTAAGAACTTTGCCTCAAGAGCCTGCCTAACAATTCAAATAGATGCCACACAGATCAGGCCGTTTATAGAGACCTTGCTGAATTCATGGAGTGAAGACATTTCAATAGGATGAAGTAAAGAGGAGTCATGCTTGTGCTTCCAGTGGAGCCAGGAGCTCCTCCACAGTGCTTCCCAAGACAAAGTATAAGGGTCTAGATGAGAAAGACTGAGAGGACCTTCTTCTATTTGACCAGCTGAAGGAATAATTATTCTCCTAGGACTACTTCCTTGTCACTCTAATATGAAGGCAGTGATCAGATCTTGGGTAAACTGAATCAAGTTATACATAGAGTTGAATTGCTCCTTCCTGAAGAAATTATGTCTTCTCCAGGGACATGACCTACTGAAACCTGGCAGACTTTGCTTTTTCTGCTCCATACTAACCTGGCAATTTCATATTTAAGATAAGAGTAACCATGCTGGGTCTAAACAGCAAGTTATTGCAATGATCAGCAGTATGCTCCACACAGTCTATGGCAAGTTTGTTCTATGCAAAGAGAGCAATATCTATCTAGAAATCTCCTCTCTCTCTCTCTCTCTCATCTCTCTCTAGATTGTTTATTAGGTGTGGTTCTAACCCAGACTTATGGAAAAGTGAGAGTGGGAGAGATAGGAAGGAAGGGAGGAGTTGCAAGGGAAAAGTCAGCTGCAATTTTTTGTTATGCTTTTGAAACAAGAAGTCCCTAGGCAGCTTTAGCCTGCACTGCAACACAGAGGCTGTCTGGAGGGGCAGGATGACAGTATGATTCCTCACAGGCTGCACACTTCTGTTCAAAGCTGTGACATGAGCATTCTGCATGTCTAGCAGAGTGATGGTGCTGGAAGCATATGGAGGTGTCCATCTTCCAGGTGTTTGGAGCAGAAATGGCTGTGGGGGAGGGCTCTGGTGCAGCTCTTTGAAAGAGTACTCATTACCTTCCCCATTCTTTCCCTGCTTCCATTTTATTATACTGTTCCAAACTCAGACCCCCAAATTAAAACAGTATTTTACAGCTTGATACTGAACCCTCAGATCACAGGTATTAGTTACTCCTATGTGCTCTGAGAGAAGCAAGGATTTGACAGGACAACTGAAGTCTTCCTTTTCTTTCTCATTTCCTTCTCTGTGCAGCTTACTGGCATGCTTTGGCTTTGGGAAGTGATAAATCTGAGGTTTGCTATTCAGTTTGGGCATCTGGTAAGGCTGCTGCTTCTGTGCTGCTGGTATCCACCCCCCCCCCCCCCCCCCCCCCCCCCCCCCCCCCCAAAATCAACCTGGGACCCCTCAAAACTCACCTGGATCTCCCCAAATCCCCGCCCCCCCCCCCCCCCCCCCCTTCACCCTGTCCCAATGTCACACTAGTAATGATACCGTTTAGGGGCTGGAAGAGTGTATGAAAAACATCCATAGAATTCTTTGTAAAGTAGAAGGTAAAACAGGTCAGTGAGACCTTTCCATTTCTATGACAGCTGGCAGGACAAGCCACAGCACCCGACAGGGGTGAGCTTTCTAGCTTCACTCCGCGGGGCTGTCCAGCTACAGGTTCCTACTGGCGAGGCAGAAGCAACCCTTCCATCCTGGAGCCTGGTTCCCGCAGCCGTCACCCATGTGGGTTCCGCGATCCTGCCACCTCCGTGCCTGACTGGCGGGCGCCCGCTGACTTCCCAGGCGGAGCAACGCTGCCGGTGCACGGGACACCGCTGAGGGAGCTGGAAAAACTAAAATGAAAGGGAAGAAAGAGAAAGAAGGTGCTCTCCCATGCTCCTTTAAGGCAGACAGCCGGCTCCCGCGGGCAGGCAGAGAGGGAAAGGGCTGTGCTCAGGCAGCAGTGCGGGCAGCAGGGAGGGCAGTGCGGGCAGCGCCCGCTCCCGGGCAGAGGCAGGCAGCAGGGAGGATAGGGCAGGCAGCAGGGACAGGGCAGGACACACGGCAAGCAGCAGGGGGGATTGGGCAGGCAGCAGGGCAGATAAGACAGGCAGCAGGGACAGGGCAGGACGCACGGCAGGCAGAGGCGCGGGCAGGGTGGGCAGGGCGGGCAGCGCAAAGCAGTTCGCGCCGCCCGGGGAGGGCTCTAATTCATCACCCCGTTCAGCGGAGAGGATGGGACGCCGCTAAACTCCCCTTCCTCCCTCCTCCCTTCCCCCCTCGCCAAGCAAGCCCCCCCGTCCTCCCCCCTCCGCTGCTCTTTCTCTTTCCCCAAGCAGTGAGCTCGGACAGTGCTCGGCTCCAGCGCTTTATTTTAAGATGATCGGCCAAGGTCTTTGCAGATAGATTTTATCTGAAGTTAAATAGCAGGCGCTCGCCGCTCACTCGCCAATAAGTCATTTTTAATAGAGACAAATCGCTCTGGACGCCCCGGAGCGCCGGTGCCGCCGCTCCTGCCCGCGCCCCCCGCCGAAGGCGAGCGGGCAGCCCGGGCAGCTCCCTCCTCCCGTAAGTGTCCTGCTCGGCGGATCCAGAGCGCGGCCGTGTGCGGAGAAGGGGAGGCAAGGGGGGGAGAGCTGCCAGCCGCCCCGCCGCCCTGACAGTGCCTGCGCTGGATGCACAGCGGCCGCGGGACACCTCGGCGCGGAGCGCGGCGAGGAGATGCGCAGGGGTGGTGGGCTGTACCGCGGCACTCAGCCCCTCTAGGCTGGCCCATGGAGCCTCCCGCGGAGCCCCGTCCGCCGTCGGATCCCCCACGCCGTACGTATCCCCACCGCGGCCCCCCCGCGGCGGCGGGGCTGTCCGCGGGCCGCGGGGGCGGAGAAGGGCTGGGGCCGGGGATGGGGGTCCTCGCCCGTCGGGGCGCCCCGGGGCGCGGTCCCGGCCCGGGGCAAGGCACGGCGCGCCTTTAGGAGCGGCAGAGGGAGGTGGGCGCTTGCAGGGGTAAGCGGAGCCTGCTAGGGCGTCCCGAAGGCAAAGCTCTCTGCCTCGGCTTTAAGCTCCCAGAAGCATCCGGAGCCACGATCCCAGCGTCTGCTGTCGCCTTCTCCCCGCTCCGGCGCCACTCCGCTCCCTAGCTCGCTGCCGGGGCTCCGCAGCTAGCTGGCGAGCGGCTGCCACCCGGTCCCCGCCGAGGGCACACAGACAGGCAGGGCTGGCAGTGGCACCCCCGAGCCGTCCCAGCCCACACCACGGGGCTCTCCCGCCCAGTAAAAGGACTGAGCGCCGGGGAGCGCTGCCTATAGGCGGTCCGCCGCCACCTCCGACCGTGCGATCACTTTGCTTTGACGCTGGATTAACTCGATTTTAATCGTTTTTTGTTTCCCCCACCCCCATTCACACACCCCATCTCCTCCTCTCCCGCTGGCCCCCCCTGTCCTCCCCTCCTTTCCCTACACACCTCTCTTTCCCTCTTGTGCTAAGCCTAACCTCGTCTTGTGGTCATGGGATCTATAATTTCGTTTTTGTCTAGGCTGGTGAGAGCTCTGCTTGTTCTGTAAAGTGGATGTCAGGTGGATCTATGTTCTGGAAGGAACAAAGAGGCAGCGAAAGCAGCACGGGGGAAGTTTGAGCGGCGAGGATGCAGGCTGTGTACTGGTACGCGGTCCTTCTACTGCAGCCCACTCTCTACCTGGTGAGTGTCCCCGGCCCCTCTCACGGGCCGGGCATGGGGAAGCTCGTCGGGGAGGAGGGCGCCAGCCTGGCGGAGAACGAACAAACTCACGGCAACTACTTGCACCCGGCAGCCAGCCCTGCCCCGTCCTCCCGGGGCCGGGCTGGGGAGGTGCGGGTCCCGGCCGGGAAATCCCGGCGGGGCGCGAGGAGTGGGGGCACAGCGCTGTAACTTCTCCGCGGGGAAGGGATGCTCCGCCAGGCCAGAGCAGGGTCGGGGTCTCCCGGGCCGTGTCCCCCGGTGCTACCTCCCGGACCGGGTCCCTGGGTGTCTGCGTGGGCGCCAGAGCATCGCCGCGGGGGCGCCCGGCCAGACTGTGGGATGGAGGCAACTTCCTGCCCTCTGCTCCCTCCTGAGGGTGGGAGCCCTCCGGAAGGGAACCCCTCTGTGTGCCACTACGGGCGGTGCGGCACAGGCGGGCGGGCACTCGGCGGCAAGCACAGCTAGTATTTTCCGCGAGAAGTGTCATTGACTTTCGTAGCAAATCTCCTTTAAGATTACCGCGGGAGCACGGGTAAACATCGGCGTTATCTCCTTTCACACACACACACTTTATTCCCACAACGATTGCAAGGAACAAAACCCAGGCAGACTGCCTCTTTGCAGTCCGCATCCTCTCTCGCTTGTGATGCGTTGAGCAGGCAAGCGCTTGGCGGCAGCTCATCCCCGTGGCTACGGGGAAGGGAAAAGCCTTTTTCCAGGAGCGTTGCCGAGAGAAGTACACCGGCGCCCGTGCTGGGGGTAGTGACGGGGACGGCCCGGCTCCGGTTCCGGCTGCGTCTCCGGCTCCGGCCCCGGTTGGGGCTCCGCGGGCTCCGGGCGCTGCCCGCGCCGCCGCTCCCTGCGCTGTGGCGGCCGCGCCACTCGGGGGCGCTGCGGGGCAGCTCGCGCGGCCCCGCGCGGGGCAGCCAATCGGGCGCGGCCGGGGGGGCAGGCGGGGCCGCGCGCGCTCCTCCCGCGCCCGCGCAGCGCCCGGCCCGGCCCGGCCCGACCCGACCCGTCCTGTCCTGTCCTGTCCCAGTCCGGCACCTCCCGGCCCTTCCCGTGCCCGCCCGACGTGCCTCCCTCATCGGGGGTCCTGCCCTCGCCGGGCGGTGCCACGTCTGCCGCGGGCGTCTCTCCTCCCTGCGAATTTTATAGCCGGGTGGGGGTGGAGGGGTGGGGGGAAATGGGGAGAAAAGTGCGTGGAAAATAATCCATCAAAAAGCCGGAGCGAGATCGATACGTCGTGTTAAATTTTAAATGTGTTTGCTGGCAGTTAAACTGCTCTCGACTCATTACAACAACAGTGCTGGATTTATTCTAATGCGCTGCAGTCTGAACAACAAGCGCATTAATTCTCCTTTAATTGTAAACTGGGAGCATTTGAAAACCATTCAGTGTGCAAATTATGCTGATTCAATTACCGTTTAGTTACAGACTTCATTACCTGAATACTTTTTTTTTTTTTTTTTCCGAGGGCTTGGCATTGCAGAGTGAAGGAGACGATTTTCAAGTTTCCCTTGAAACAATGCAAAATATGATTAAAAAAAAAAAATAAGCTCAGGAATAAAAGACAAGCTAGGGGGGAGGGAATGCGCCCTTCAGCTGGTCTGTGTCTTCTGCCAAAGCACTCGAGGAGGATCCAAAAGGATTTCCCTAGCATGATTCTTCTTTCTAACTCGATACTTCCACTTTCATGCCAATCTCTCCCCATTCTCTGTATTTCAGGAGCGACTCTGAAAGTTTGCATTAGGCCATCGCGTGATAACGAACTGTTTGTTAGCACCGAAGCATGAAGTTTTGATTAAAGCTTTAATGCGGTGCCACAAAGCAGCAAGGTGCAGCACTTTGTTGTGCCTATCCGTATGTGCACGTCGCTCCGCGTGGACAAAAGCGGTTTCAATTAGCAATTTTCAATGCTCAAACTGCTAGGAAGGGTAAATGAAATGGCAGCACAAACAGCTTCCTATCGAGTTTGTTAAAAAAACCACCTTTTTGAGAGGGGTTAATAATATAGGTGAGAGGGAAAATAGCCTGTTTCCCCTTCGCCTGAATTAGGAGGTGTTCATGGAGAGTGAACAGCTGCAGCGAGGCTGGGCTGCCTTGAAGTCACTCATTTTCAGACACTGTCTGCCTTGTAATTTCTCTTCACTCAGCAAACCGCTGCTTTTTTTTTTTTTTATCCTCTTCCTTTCCCCCCTACCGTTAAACCTCTTTGTAATGTAGTCTTAAGGGACAAAAAAATAGTGCTTCTGCTTTTCTTCCCCTTTTAGTAGAGCCATATGCTATCCAGCCTTATTGCCTGAAATTTATAGAGATCATGGCCAATCTGAAGGAGTAGGAATTTTGCTGGGGTAGAGATGGTTCACCATATTATGTTTATTGGAAAGAACATTAATTGTGCATTGCGATGTGTGCATTTTTCTCCTTGTTTTGAGGTGTGCAGTGTATTGAAAATGTTATATTTGATTTGCAGTGGTAGTGTATTTCCTTTGGCCTAGATGGGTAGCTTAGTACTTATTTGGCAGAATTAGGAATTAACCTTTAAAATCTTGCAGTTGTTTTCTTTCCCTACTTTTAGAAAGCTGCAGAAAGTGTTCAAACATTTGCACTAGGTCTTATTTACCACGACACTCCATATCACCGCTGTTCTTTCAAAAGCATCTTAGTTTGATTCTAACTAACAGTGCTGTGCTGAGCTCAAAATCGTCAGCGAGGAAGCATGTCAAGAATAAAGAAAAAAAACCAAAATAACATCCGGAGATCACAGACTCTCAGAATTGAGTTCTGTTTATAAGGACACTGGAATTCTACACCATTCCTTCAATGGAAACCTCGTTGTACCTCCTGCCTAGTTGCAGGTGAACTTCCAGTCCGACACCACAGGACAATAAAAGGCCCGGCTGTTCTTTTAATTTCTGCCTTATTTTTTTTCCCCCGTGTGGAAGCAGCAAGCTGTAGAAGTGACCACAGAACGCGCGGGCTGTTATGAAGGACGGCAAGCATCCTAAGTATTATTTCTCAGAGGGACAGGTCAAGCAGGCCCTCGGAGGAGGAGGCAGATCGTTTCCGTGCCGGCAGCTGCGGAGCCGCTCCGTGCGGCGGGGCCCGGCGGGCTGTGGCTGGCAGCTCCCGGCGCCGACGGGCGCTCATCCCGTCCCGTCCCGTCCCGTCCCGTCCCGTCCCGTCCCGTCCCGTCCCGTCCCGTCCCGTCCCGTCCCTGCGCACCCCGGCCGAGGCGGGAGCCGGGCGGCAAAGGGCTCGTACACGGCGGGATTTCACCCCGGTCACGGTCACGGGCTTTACCCCCGCACGCTCCGGGGAGACCTTCCCGCACCGCACAAGCGAGGAGTGGGTACATGCACCTCTTTCGCTGGGACCATCCCGGCTCGAAGAGACTTCTTAGGTGCTCCTTAACCGGAGTAGCGGGTACGGAAATAAAATCAGTCGGAATTTTGCTTGGCATGCTGCTAGAGTAGGGATCCCTCCCCCCCCCCCCCACCCCTTCATCGCCCGCCCGGTTTGTCGCCTTCTCCCAGCAAAGTGTTTATTCACCGGTGGGTTTAGTTAGGATACGCACCGGAGCTGGGTAGCAGAGTGCTTCAACTCTGTGGAGAACTTAAGCAGCGCAAGAGCAAAAGGAGGGGTGTTTTTTCAGCCCGCGGTGAAGGCTGTTTCGCGGGGGGAGCTTTGCTGCGCGGCGCTTTGCCAGAGGAGTGGAACTACGGGGCTCACGGGGCACCTTGTTAACCAGGGCGATGGCTCTGGCACAGGGGCTTTGGAAACAGCCTGCTAACCTTCTCCCCGTGCCGGGCTGGGATTTTAAGGTCTGTTTCACACCGTCACTGTAGCTTGGAGGCCTTCTGACAGCTGAGAGGAGCTTTACTGCAAGATTGTTTTGAATAATAGAGGTTTAAAATTGTCCTCTGCGGTGGCACACTTGGTACAGTATTTGCTGAGGGGGTAAACAGGGGGTTAGCGGCTCCAGAGTTTGTGTACATTTAATTTCGCTGTGTGTCGCACTGTTTGCGGTCATTTCACCCGGTTAATGAAAGCTGTGGTGAACGTGAGGAAATATCACATGCCGGCGAGGATAAGTTGATTTTTTTCTTCTTTCTTTTTAAAGATTGTTGCTGATTGTGTCCTACTTTGTCATGGAAGAAAAAAAAAAAACAAAACAACCAAACAAACACACACCTCTATAGGCAGAAAACAAAAGAGAGAGGAAGCATTGTCCTATCGTAATCACCACCCACAGTATTTTCTCAGAGGCATTTGGTGGTGAATGCATTCGGGTATTGCTTTTTTTCCTCCCAAATAAGCGCTTTCTTTCAATTTTCAAATTGACGTCGAAGGCAGGGAGGGCGGGGGATAGCGCTTGGCGAGCAGGGACAGTAGTGGCTTTTTGTGCGGGAGAGTTTACGTAGCCTTGAGATGCTCCTGCTCCCTCTTTCTAAACGAGTTTGAGAGACGCTGTAGCGGTGGTGTAAGGTGAAAAAAATATCCTTTCGGAAGGTAAGACACGGGAATAACAACGGGATCCCCAACTCGTGTAGGTGAAACAAACTTATCTGAGCTCTTGATTTTTAAATTTTTTTTTTTTTTTTTTCCGAGCGGAGGACAGTGTATTCTTTTCCAGGCTTCCTTGCTTCATAACCACCAGGGACCTGTGCTAGTTTAAGAAGGGGTTTCCCCATACTGAAATTTCTTTTTCCTGATGCTTAGTACACACTATTTTAATTTAGTATATAGTTGGAGACAGCAGTCTAGAATAGATTTCACCTTCTGGGGAGGCACCTGAATATAATCCAATATCCTCTTCTACTAGCCAAATCTTCCAAGTCGGTACAGTACCTAGAGGTATCCATTTTAACCTCTTTAATATTTCCCTGCATCTCTAAACCGCCATTTTAATGAACAAAAAGCCAATTTCCTAATCGTCTTGGAAAGTGCAGTGAAACAGGTTAAGAAACCAATTG